ATACAAATACATAAAACAATCATTGTAAAACTATGGTAATGAGCACACATGTGTAAAGGTGTAATATGTGACAATAACAACATAGAGGAGGGTGGAGCTGAATGTAACTTAATAAATGAATTCAACAAATTGCAGAGTAGGAGATCAGTTGTGTTTGTATAAACCAGCAATGAACAATCCAAAAGGGAAATCAAGAAAACAATTCCATTTACAATAGTATCGAAAAGAATAAAATACCTAAGACGAAATTTAACCGAGAAAGTGAACGAGTTATACATTGAAAACTACAAAACATTGCGGAAAAAGATTGAAGAAGAACTAATTAAATGGAAAGACATCCCATGTTCATGGATTGCAAGCCATATAATGTTGAGATGGCAATACTCCTCAAAGCCATCTACAGAGTCAATGCAATCTCTATCAAAATGCCAAAGGCCTCTTTGCTGAAATGGAAAAGACAATTCTAAAATTCATATGGAATTGGAAGGGTCCATAAGTAGCCAAAAGAACATTAAAAAAGAGAAACAAAGTTGGAGGAGTCATACTTCTTGGTTTCAAAACTTAGTACAAAGCTACAACAATCAAAAACAGTGAGGTACTGCATAATGATAGACATATAGACCAATGGAATAGATTTAAGAACCCAGAAATAAACCCAAACACCTAGGGCCAATTGATTTTTGGCAAAGGTGCCAAGACCATTCAGTGGGGAAAGAATAATATCTTCAATAAATGGTGCTGATACACCCAGATAACCACATGAAAAGAGTGTAGTGGGACCCCTACCTTACTCTATGCACAATAATTAATTCAAAATGGGTCAACAGCCTAAATATAAGAGCTTAAACCATAAAACTCTTAGAAGAAATCATAGGGTAAATCTTCATCACCTCTGATTCGGCACTGGCTTCTTAGATTTGACACGAAAAGCACAAGCAGCAAAGATAAAATAGACTCATCGGGTTTCATAAAAATTAAAAAGTTTTGTGTACTAAAGATGATATCAAGAAAGTGAAAAGACAATCTACAGAATGGGAGAAAATATTTGCAAATCATATATCTGATAAAGGCTGAGTATCCAGATTATATATAAAGAACTCTTACAACTCAACACCAAAAAGACAAGGAACTCAAGAAATGGGCAAAGGGCTTGAATTGACATTTCTCCAAAGATATACAAATGATCAGCAAACAGAGGAAAAGATGCTAAACATCATTAGTCATCAAGGAAATCAAATCCACAATGAGATACCACTTCATAACATATAGGATGGCTATAATCAAAAAAAATAAAGAAAATAAAAGAAAAATAATGTGTTGGTGAAGATGTGGAGAAACAGCAACCCTTGTACATTGCTGGTGGGAATGTAAAATGGTGCAACCACTGTGACAAACAGTTCGGTGTTTCCCCAAAATCTTAGACATAGGGTTACCACATGACCTAGCAATTCCACTCCTAGGTGTGTGTTGAAGAGAAATGAAAACATATCATCCACACAGAAATTTATATAGAAATATTTATAGCAGCATTAGTCACAGTAACCAAAAGGTGGAAAAAACTCAAGTGTCTATCAAACAGACAAATGGATAAATTGTAGTATATACATACAAGGGAATATTATTTAGCCATAAAAAGAATGACTACTGATACATGCCACAGCTTGGATGGACCTCAAAAACAATATGCTAAGTGAAAGAATCCAGACACAACAGGTCAAATACTGCATGATTCCTTTTATATGAAGTATCCAGAATCTGCAAATCCATAGAGATAGAAAGAAGATTACAGGTTGCCAGGGGGCAGGGCAGGGCAGGGGGTGGGAGAGGGAGAATGGGAAGTGATTCAGTACTCATTAAGTGTGGACCCACAATTTAATGGGTGTGGACACACATTCTTTTGGGTGATGAAAAAGGTTCAAAACTAGAGAGCAGTGGTAGTGGCACAACATTTTGAATGCACTAAATGCCACTGACTTGTACTTTAAAATAGTTAATTGTATCTTATGTGAATTTCACCTCAATTTTTAATAAAGGGTCATAGACATGTTTAGCATAATCCCCTTTTAATTTTTAAATGCAGATATACACGAGAGAAAAATATTAGATCATACTTCAAGACATTAAAGATGATTATCAATGAGTGATGGGAAATCAGGTAGTTTTAGTTGTTTCTTCGTTGCTTAAATTATTTTTAAAATTTTCCAACAATGTTAGGAAATAATTGCATGTTGAATTTTTTAGTAACTAGGAAAGAGAGACTATAGCAATATTGACTAATAGATTTTTAAGATCATGAGAAAAATGCTTAAGTTGTAGAGTTAAATGAGGATAAAAGAAAATTGCATTGTATACATAATATGATCCCGAGTATTTAAAATGCACTGCTCATGGTAACAGGCTGTCTGTGGCAGAGAGGCAAATGAGTGGCATTGTTCCTTTCTCCTTTCCAAATTTTTTTTTTTTTTTGTGAGGAGATCAGCCCTGTGGTAACTTCTGCCTATCCTCCTCTTTTTTTTTTTTTTTTTGCTAAGGAAGACTGGCCCTGGGCTAACATCTGTGCCCATCTTCCTCCACTATGTATGGGATGCCGACACAGCATGGCTTGCCAAACAGTGTGTCAGTGCGCACCCAGGATCCGAACTGGCGAACCCTGGGCCGCCGCAGTGGAGCGCACACACCCAACCGTTTGCGCCTCTGGGCCAGCCCCCCAAATTTTCTTAATGAACATATATTATCACTATAATCAGAAAAGTAATTTTATTTTTTAAATGTCTACTACAGGGCAATCTAATTTGGAAAAAGTAGAGGTTTGGGGCTAGCCCAGAGGCGTAGTGGTTAAGTTGGTGCACTCCACTTCAGCGGCCCGGGCTTCGCAGGTTCGCATCCTGGGCGTGGACGTACACACTGCTCATCAAGCCATGCTGTGGTGGCATCCCATATACAAAGTGGAGGAAAATGGGAACAGATGTTAGGCCAGGGACCATCTTCCTCAAGCAAAAAGAGGAAGTTTGGCAACGAATGTTAGCGTAGGGCCAATCTTCCTCACCAAAGGAAAAAAAATAAGTAGAGCTTGGGTAAATGTGCTTGGTTTGATAAGGAGGATATTTACACTGGAATTATGTATTTTGATACAAAATATTCCTCATAGAAAAACTGGAAGTACAGAAAATATAAGAAGGAAACTTAAGTCAGCAGACTCTAACCACTCAGAGATATTTAGTTGTTCTTTGAACAGGATTGGGCTTTGGGATATTTAGAACAATGGTCCTTCACTTCCAGTGTAGTGAGATCATCAGCAGAGCTTGTTTACCAAATGTGAGTCTATTATGTGCCAGGCCAGCTCTATCAGAAGTGTGTCTCTCTGGACAGAAGACCTAGAACACTGAAAGGACAATTACTGGTCTTTGGTTGCCCAGCATGTTTTCCACTTGACATGGTACCCATGATTGAGTCATCTGAACTTCCTTTGGGGAACCAGCCCTGTCCCAGTCTTAGTTCACTTGGTTTGGGTGGGACCAACTCCAGCCTACCCAAAGTAGGAATGACCTAGGCTTAAGTCAATCAGCGGATTCAATTCCTAGGGTCATAGTGATTTGTTAATTTAGGCCAATAAATGCCAAGTGCAGGACTTTTGTTAAAAACATTGACAAAAGAGATGGACTCCATCACTCTGAGCATTTGTAATCTAAAAAGAGATGTTAAAAATCCGCTAGGAGGGAAGCTGTGATGAGCAATGGCTTGCTATACGGATTGGGTAGATGGTGGCCATGCTCTGTTCCCATTTGGTGCATCCCTCTACCATGGCCCTTCCCATACTGTGCTCTGGTCACCAATGTTTCTGTCTTCTCCACCAGACAGTCAGCTCTCTACGGGAAGGAGAAACACCTCCAATATGCTTGGTGATAGCACAGAGAATGGCCCAAACGCATGTCTGCTAAAGAAATTATCCAGATGGACATAGCAACATGGAAATGAGGTTTCGGGGGCTCCAACACCTCTACTGGTCAATACCACAGCCCACAGTCTCCACCTTCTACCCTCAGGCTCCTGCTCGGGGCTGGAACAAGTGGTCTGCACTGAGTCATCTGCTGTGGGCACTGATGTGGTCAGCGCATGGTTCTCACACAACCACCCAGAGGACGTCATCAGGCAGAGGGAGTCGGGGCGGGGAAGCTTTCCTAGAAAGCTATCTATGATAAAGTACCACAGAACCTGAGCGGGACTTGAGGTCACTGAGCCCACCTGCATCTCCTTCCTCTCCTGGGGGCTATAAGAGAGCAAGGAGGATGCACCAGCAGCTCCGACCTGGGCAGCCTTCCTGGAAAGATGCAGCCTCTTCTGCTCCTGCTGGCCTTTTTACTGCCCCCCAGGGCAGAGGCAGGTGAGTGACCATCCCTGCTCTCGGGGGTCCCAACCCATCCCACAGGGTGCACTGATCTCCCGCCCCTACTGCACATCCCTAACCCATCTATCCAGCAGCAACGTTCTGAATCCAGCTCTGTTCCCACCTCAGACACCAGAGTATGATGCTGGATGAGCTACCAGCAGGAATGGCAGGGCAGAAGGCTGTTCTCAGGAAAAGCCAGTGGGTGCTATTCTCTCCCCAGGTCCTACGTTTGCCATCTGGAAAGTGAAACTTAACTACATGTGCATGGCAAAGGGAAGGAAACTAGAAACGAGAAAATAATAAATCTTCCTGCAAAGGCCATAGTGGGCCTGGCTTCCCTGTCGGGGATGAGACAGGTGCTCCCCCCAGTGTCTGCTCAGGAGGGAAGCCCAGAGCTCAGCAGACCAGGAGCTGGTGGGACCTCTGTCCTCAGAGGACTGCTGGTGCCATACTCAGTCCCAAGGCCCCTCTGTCTCTTCTCCAACTCTGCTTTTCTTCCCAGGCATTGAGCAGCTCCCCTCTTTCAAGGATGGAGCCACTGTTTGGCAGACCCCAACATCCCTGCTTTCCGGAAGCCCACCAGCACTGGCTCCGCCAAGCCTCATCCAGAGACCCATTGGGGTCCATTCCTTCATGCAGCTAACAAACACTTTTTGGGCACCCACTACCTGTCAGTGCCTAGGAAACAGGCTATAAGAACATCTAGATCCCTCAGCTGAAGTCCTGGCCACTGGAAAGTAGCACTATCCTTAGACGGGGTCCTTAGAAACGCACGGGAAACAAAGCAAAATCAGGAGAGGAATTTTCAGGTGCCTCTAGGACTTTGTTGTCTCTAAGACAGATATGCTCCTTCCAATCATCTGCGGAGGACAGATTCACAGACGGAGTCTGCTCCTCTTCCCTTTTCCAGAGGAGGAAGTTGAGGCTCCTCCAGCCCCTCCCAACTCTGGGCCATCCTGGGCTCCCAGACGCCCAGCAGTCCTGAGCCATCAAGCCGATGTCTGCCCGGTGGACTCACTGTGTGCACACAAGCAGATCAGACTTTTCCTTCAGGGGAGATCATCGGGGGACACGAGGCCAAGCCCCACTCCCGCCCCTACATGGCATTGGTTCAGTTTCTGGTGAAGGAAAGACGGAAGATGTGTGGTGGTGCCCTCGTGGGAGAGGACTTTGTTCTGACGGCTGCTCACTGCTTGGGAAGGTGAGGGGCCGCAGACAACAGACACCTCCTGAGACCCCCACAGGAACTCCTGTCCTCTACCCAGGGGCTACAGCCCAGGGGAGCTCCCCCGGCTCCTAGTAACTTAAGGCCATGCGAGCTCATCAGAGGAGCCATCTGATAGCATGACTGGGGGATGGAAAGGGAGAAATAGGACAGGTAAGCTTTGGGGTCAGAGGTCCAAGGTGAGAGCTAGTGGCCCAGTTGAGAAGACAGACCACACTGAAATAAAGCAGCTGTGGAGGATGAAAGCCTGCATGAGGGTCAAAATGCAAACTCAGAGGATTTTCACAATATTTCCTGAGGGCAAGAGAAAGCTTCCAGAAGCCCAACACTCCATGCCACTGAGAAGCACAGGGCACAGAGTCACTCCATGCCCGGCCCTCACGTTGTCTCGATTTCCCCTAGTTGCAGCCCTGGCCTGACCCAGCTGTCACCTGTCCTTCATGGCTCCTGGGCTGGATCTCCTGTGACTCCACACCCCCCACACTCCCACTCTGCTTTCTCTGCAGCTCAATCAGTGTCACCCTGGGGGCCCACAACATCCAAAAGCAGGAGAGGACCCAGCAGGTCATCCCTGTGAGAAGAGCCATCCCCCACCCAGACTATGATCCTAACAACATCTCCAACGACATCATGTTACTAGAGGTAAGGAAACCTCTCTGCTGCTTCTGCTCTCCCAGGTCCAGATTGTTTCCACTCTCACTGCGACCTATCCCTTCCCTCCTTCCCATCCTGGCCACCTGGCTACTCCCAAGTGGCTCAGGGGAGAGGGAAGACAGTGCAGCCCCATTGTGGTGTCCAGGCCCAGGAGGCCATTGGCTGAGCTGGACTTTCCTGCCTCTTCTCATCAGCTGGCAAGAAAGGCCAAGCAGACTGCAGCTGTGAAGCCCCTCAGCCTGCCCTGGAGCAAGGCCCAGGTGACGCCCGGACAGGTGTGCAGTGTGGCCGGCTGGGGGAGAGTCACCCCAATTGGCCCAAATTCAGACACTCTGCAGGAAGTGGAGCTGACCGTGCAGGAGGACCAGGAGTGTGAATCCCGCTACCCCGGCATTTACAGCTGGGCCACCCAGATTTGTGTAGGGGACCCGAAGAAAAAGAAGTCTTCCTTTCAAGTGAGACTGAACATCAACCTAGTTTGGCTCTGAGGAGAGGGGTGTTTGGGGAAGATCTGGGACCTGTTCCTCCAAAAAGTGGGATCTCCTTCACCCCTTGGTCACTGATCTTTCTCCTGGGGAGAGAAGGGGGGATCAGCCAGAGTGAGGAGTCACGGGACTTTTGCATGCTCCCAAGGGACCAGTGATGGATCCACAAATGGCATTCCCCCGGGTGATGAATGTTCAACACTCTGCCCCATGCCGGGCACACGTGTTAGAAAACTGTGCTCCCTGCTGTGCAGCAGTTAAAACCACGTGGCTCCTCAGAGCTGGCACCCATCTTGGATGATGGGCTCACCCTCCATGCTGAGTGTCGGCCCCACCTGCCTGCTTCAGTGTCCTTAAACAGTAGACTGAAGCACAGTCCCACAGCACCTTCATGGGGAGAGGATCCGGGACCCGGGGAAGGACAGGGAGCTGCCACCTGAGTGAAGTGAAACAGTGACAATGTCCAGGGTCAGGACTGGGCAGCTGAGGGGCCCACAGGGGCCGCCCTCCCCTCTGATCTGCCACATGGAGGCCATGCAGGAGGCCTTCTCTGAGAGGGGCTTTGGGATGGCAGGGAGGGCAGGACCAGGAGGAGAACTAGCTCAGTCCTTCCCTTTCTCTGTCCACAGGGGGACTCCGGGGGCCCTCTCATGTGTAAGAACGTGATCCAGGGCATTGTCTCCTATGGACGAAGTGACGGGTCACCTCCACGGGCCTACACCAAAGTCTCGAGTTTCCTGCCCTGGATAAAGAAAACCATGAAAAGCCTCTAACTGCAGGAAACAGACCATCTTCTCTGGAGCTCATCCAGAATCACACCAGCAACTAAATAAATGTCTCTTAGCTGAGTGGGAACGTCTGGTTTCTTGTTTATTCATTGACCCTCATTCACAGGCACCAACTCGGTGCTTAGAAGGCCAATGACACAAACGTGCTCTTTTCTGCTTCCTCCTCTTCCCACTGCCAGCACCACCTCCCCCAAACCCCATGCAAAGCTGTCACCCAACTCCGTCTTACCAACACGAGTCTCTCCAGGCCCTGCTCTTCTGCCAGGGCTGAAGCTGAGCGCCGTCAGGAGAAAACATGAACCTCTCTGGTCCTGGGGCTCAGGGTGAACTTCTTACCTCCTTCCCAGTGTTATATGGCAGAGAGGAAGGGGGATAACACCATGGTTCCCAGACACCAAGCCGGCACAGCCTAGGGTTGCAGCTCAAGGGCACAGCCCCCAGCACAGGGGAGGGGAGGGGCTGCCTGAGCAGGACATTTCTCTCCCACAGCCCGGGGAGCTGGCACAGAGTGGGGTGAGTCTCTTGAGAAGCTCCTGTTCTCACCTGGGCTGAGTCTCCTCCCTGCCCTCCTCTGAGCTCGGGGCCCAGCTCGGCCTCAAGTCTCCTGGCTACCCCTTCTCCATCCCTGCTTACCACTGAGAGTCCTAAGAGTCCACCAACTCCTGTTCCCTCCAGACAACAGTGCTCTGAGCTGGCCCCTTCCTCATAGCCCTCCCATCCTGGACCCCGAGAGCTCCATGTGGTTCCAGCAGGGCCTCCCCACTGACATGCCAGCCCAGCTCGTGCCCTGGCAGAGAGGGCTACGGAGGACCAGGCCTGTGATGGAACCAGGCAGGGCCCATGGAGGACAGGGCAGGCGGGTGTCTATCCGGAACCTATGGCTCCACTTCTCAAGTGGCAGGGCCACCTCAACCCCTCACATCCAGATCAGTGTCACCCCTTGTGCTCAGGGTCCCCCGGCCACCTGGTCACTCAGTAGCCTGAGTGCCTTTCAGCCTGTCCCTCTTAGTCCTTGCTGGCCTCTAGGGGTAGACCCCTGCTCGCCACCCAGGGCTGTATCAGCATTTTGAGTTGGCAGGAGCTGCTCTCTGCAGTAGGACTGGAAAGCACAGGTTGTCCGTCAATCAACAAACACGTGCTGATCCAGGACCTAAGTGCTCTGCCCTGGGATACACAGTGAACCCAAGATAGACTCTGTCATCTGGACCCAAGTGACACTGACAGTGTGACTTTCACCCAAATCATTTAACTCTCCCTCCCTCCTTCACATGAGTCCACGTGGCCTAGATCTACATGGGAAATCCACAGGAATAAAGTATTTTATTTTTATTGCTGATTATAGTCTGTATGAATGTTATCACATGTGACTCTAGAACAGCAAGTATGGGATTTGGAAATGACGTTAGTCATTTAGTTTCTAGAGTGAAGTTACCAAACTCGGTTCACTGGAGCATCCTCATCACCTAGAGGAGAGGGCAGCTGGTGGGGAGGAAGAAGACAGGAAGGGCAGCCTTACGTTCATTTGCTTTAAAAGCAGCAGGTATGAACATCATTGTCCAGATTCAAATGGTAGGAAAACTATATGATGCATTTGCTTGAAGGCGCTTAGAGTCTGACTCCAAACTCCCATCCAATTGGACCAGCCAGAGACATGAACCCTGTCGTTACTGCAGCTCCTGCCTGCGCAGAAGCCAGCTAGAATCTGGGAGGCTGATACAGTCTGGAAAAATGGAGAAAAGCCTCTAGTCTGCAGGCCTTCATGGTTACTCTGCATCCACCATTTCCAAGACCACCCAGACTTTTGGACTTTAGGAGGTTTTTGGCTTGGAGGCCACACATAGGGTAGGTGATTCTTTGCTGAATGAGGATCTCCCTGTGTTGGGCTCACCTTGCCAAATACTCCCAGAGGCCACCCCTCCAAGGTCTTGCCACTAATATGGGGCACTGCCCAGGGGCTGAGCAGAAGTCCCAGCTGGGCTAAAGCCCTCCTACCCCAAATACACACAGCACGACCCTCTCGTGACAAGGGATAAATACTCTGGGATCGTGTAACCCTCAAAGGCATGGCCTTTCCCATCTTGTTGTGCACAAAGCATACAGCAACCCAGCCTCTTAACGACCATGGGCACTTTCACAAGGGAAAAGCAGTGAAGTTACGGAGCTCATGACTTGGAGCTAAAAAACATCCCTGCATCTAAGACGTACTAAGAACCTGGCTCCTC